AGAACATTTCCCCTCTGAAGATTCAAGTTGCAGGTAATCAATACTCTTGTTGAAGGATCTGTATAAAACATTTTGAGTATTTAAACCATCTTACATACCTTAACTTGGACATCCTTATTGCACTTTGGTACAAGTCAATTTGATCTATTAACTTCATTGTGTGGATGGAAGTCACTAGTTTGTGGTTGAGACTGTGCAGCCTATTCTACATCGATTTACATGGGAGTAAGCCCCATTCAACTCAAATAGAACGAACTTTAGGAGGACATGTATATAGAATTGCATTGTTAATCACTGCAGCCCTATACTAGCCTGTGAATACACTGTGCCGAAGCATCTTGTGATTCTGTGATACCTTTTAAATGTTGCAGAGTTTTAATATATATCCAGTGTTCATTACACTTTTGAGCATTAGCTCTGTCACTGTTTGGAAGTTGCTTTGTGTGTCTATAGTGCTTGGCAAGCCACTCACAAAACCTGCATGAAAAATATATGCCTATATGCCTACCAGATTTCAGGTGAGAACTGGGTTGGTAGTGGATATGTGGTTATAACAACCCATATCTAAGCCAGCCTATGGTACCTCGCAGGTCTCTTGGGGTCATAACCTGAAGAAGATAACGATGGCAAAGTACACTACATTCAGCTGCTTCAAGCTGCTCTGATTTTCTTTCCCAATTAATGAAATTCCATGCATGAAATACCCATTTTGCATGCACCTTGCACCCACCTTGGTTGCTGTTTTAATGTTTCTTCTCTCTTATCTGACTAACACCAATGTACCCTGTCTACTACCTCCCTTACTACAGTTGTATTTGTTCTTTTGCTGACTCCTTTTTTGGATAGTCAACTCCCCCCCCCCCCACTGTTTTGTTTAAATTTGCAGGTTTGTATGATAAATTTCCCAAAACTGTCAAGCATATTCTTATAAATGAGTCAGGAACAGGGAGGAGATGACGTAGGGAAGGAAAAGGGGAAGAGAGAAATTGGGCTCTTTCTTCCCCATCTTCCCAAAACAAAATTACAAAACAGGAAAACCTAGTGCATAAAAGGAGAGACCAATTTATAGCTTTCCTCCCAAGAATACACTGGTATTCAATCTAAAATATCAGATCAGATTTCTACAAAGCACAGCTCCCAAGTGCCAGCTTCCATGCAGGCACACTCGGGGGAGTTGCTTTCACCCCCAGATCTCCTCTTTTTTGTAGCTCAATTATCCAAAGCTGCATTCAGTACACACACACACACACATACACACACACTATAAACAACCTCCAAAGACTCCCCTCCGTAACATCATCGCCAGCCCTTCATCCTCCCTCACCATTAAAACAGCTTTTGCCAGTGAACAGAGGACAAACATATTCATTGGCACCTTATCAGACATGCATGCAAAACTAATTAACATGGGGAGACACGCAAGCTGCTGTCCAGCCACACACACACACGCTCATGCACACACAACCTATACACACACACACACACACACACACACACAAGGCCGCCCTTGTCTAGATAGGCGGAGAGCATAAAGGCTAGGATGGTGGTGGGGAACGTTGAAAAGGCTTTGTTGCTAATTTAGGCATCTGTCTCAGTCTGGTCTGGTCTTCCCTGGCTGGCCCATGAGAGTTTGTATTTTTCCCAGCCCTTGCTACAATGCTGGGAACATTGCCCCCCCCCCCCTTCAGATCAGTCCTCGACAATGGTCTCATTGTCCGTGCCACAGAGAAAAGCAAAAGAGAGAAGAGGGAGGTAAAGACAGGCTGGCGGTAGGATGGTGGAAGCAAGGGGGAGAGAGAAGGGAAGAGAGATGAAAATGTGAACTTAAAAAAAATGTTTACTATCACACATTTCTTGCAGCTGCCCCAGATCTCCCTAGACAGCCTGAATGGATAGCAGTTGGAGACAGAGACCCAAGAAGAGACGATTATTATTCACAGGGCCACTTGGAGGAAGCATGTGCATATTCAGACTTGCAGAGAATGGCAAGGTGTGAGCAGGCTCTGTTGGGCCACAACTGAAGAAAAGATGTCACATTTGACCACGGTCCAAAAAAATTATGTAGCTCAGATCACATGCAGGAGGCTCCGCAACCACTTGGGGCAAAAGATCGAAGATGACACCTCCCACTCCCACCCACCTAGTTTATTGTTATTTTAAGCAATAAACAGCATCAACAGCATAATTGTCAATGTGAAAGCCAGTTGTTGCTTAATGAGACCATAAAAGCTAATGAGGACCAGCAGGGTGAAGTGCTGAATGCTGGATTCAGAATCCAGGAGACCAAAGTTTGAATCCCAGTGCAGCCATGGAACCATGCTGAACAAATCACATCCTTTCAGCAACACAGAAAGGCATCAGCAAGCCACTCTGAACAAAACTTGCAAAGAAAACCCAATGATAGGTTTGCCTTAGGGTCACCTCAAGTTGGAAACAACTTGAAGGCACACAATCACAGACAAAAGCTAATGCCCTCTGATATAGCAAGCTAGCCTTGCTGCCATGTAACCAAGAGGATTTTCAGAACTGTTTTTCATGACCTTCCAATCAGCCTCTTAGAGCCACTACTTTCTGAACCAGAGACTTTCAAAAAGACAGACTTGGGAAGAGTCAGTGATTCAAATCAAGATATTATGAAGTTATTTTTAAAGACCCCAAAAGATAGCAGATGCTCATAGATCTGTTTCTCCAACCCTCATCGTTCTTAGGATGCAGGAAGGGAAATGCAAGAAAAGACAAGAAAAAGCAGGTTGAGATTCTTGAGCCAGGGTGGCCACTTTTAAACAGCTCCCTGCTTGGAGAGATGAGGTGTGGACAGGGAAGCTAAGATTGCATCTCATTCTTAGGAAAATGGTATTCAACTGACATTTTTTATTGGGAGAAGGGGGCAAAAGAAAAAGGAAAGGAGGACCTTAGAGTAGATGGTAGGTTCACCATTTGCAGCAGCCCAAGGAGACACTAGCAAAAGGAGTTCTAGGCCCAGGCTATCTGACATGCCACAGCTAAAATAACATTTGCTTAAACCTGGCCCTGCAAGCAGAGTCACAGCAGCAAGGGTACATAGCCAGAGGGATCTTCTATATTCGGCAACTGACAAAAGAAAACAAGTGGGGGAGGCAAAAGGCAGTGGAAGGCTTAACTGGAGCTGGGCTTTTTTGTGCAGGGAGGACGACAATGCGGAGCTGCCTTCATGTGTTTTACTGAGTCCCTTTTGCAGATAATAAATTCCAAGGTAAATTGTGGGAGGAGGGAGAAATAAAAGGCACCTACTTTCCCCACAGAGGGCACATGCCCATAAAATGTGGAGCAGATGGATCTCAGACAGTATGATGAACATAGCTACACCTGTCATGAATTACAGCAACCGTCACCATGGATCTCATCCATTTAGGATGTCTCACCCCAGCTCCTCAGGGCCAAGAGAAAGCAGAAAATCAGGTTCTTTCTCTATGTGCAAATGTACTTGTTCCTGATATACATTTGTGAGACATAAAGGTCCTCAAAAGGAAAGGATGGTCAAGATTGCAACATATCAAAAGCTGTGCATTGTGGTTTGTTTGTTTGTTTGCTACAAAAAAAAATACATATTCATTGAGCTTAGGCAAGTGACTTTTTGGATTGTAATTCCCAGAATCCCCTATGATCACAACTATTTTAGTGGGGCATTCAGGGACTTACAATAATAATAATAATAATAATAATAATAATAATAATAATAATAATAAATAATTTTTTAAAAAAAAAAATTCCAAGGTCTTGCTTATCTCACTTCTGATTTCCATCTATCAGGTACCAAAACTACATGTGGATCCAATCAAGACACTATATGTTGTTTTAAGATTCACTTCTGGAACGTGAACAAAATGAAGTTATAAAAGAACAATATAATGCTGCCTGCCTGTCATTAACTTAATAAGTATTTACAACTAAGCCACCCATTGTACCTGTTTTGAACAGTTCCAAGTCTCACAAACCAAATCTCGCAATTTTCCTTTATGCCAATTGTCAAGTGTTTGGAGTGGGACACATACTCTATTTTTTTAAAAAAATTAAATAAATACATATTTATGATCTCTGTATTGCTTTCTTCCCACACTTTATTCTTATAACGGTAAGCCTGTGAAGGAGGTTAGACTGAGAGACAATACCTGGACCAAGGTCACCAAATGAATTTCATGGCTGACTAGAACCTGAATGCTTCAAGTATAACACTTTTCTAACCACTGTACCACACTGGCTCAATTGGCCAGAAAACAAGGGCCAATACACAACACCATATCACCATATATATATATATATATATATATATATATATATATTTGGCTGCAAAGAAATATTCTACTATATCAGATTATTTAAAGGACTTGTCAATCATCTGTTTCATTTTGGAAGTCTGCAAGGTACTGTTTTAACCTATCACAACTGGATATTTATTTTGTCGTATGAAACTGGCCCAACAATTTACTGCAATGGGTTTTTGCCATGTTCAACAGTGCTTTTGAGAATCAAAGATGCCAAAGATTACACAATGAAAATTGCCCCCAGTTTGCACAATACATGCACCCATTATTGTCATGTCAAATGTGTTTGGGCACTATTATTCAGGCCAACTGTAAGGGGAATGCAGGCATTTCATTTGAACACACAAATGTTAACTCTAACAAGAAAAAGCGGAGGGGGGGTATCCTTGATTGTGACGGATTCAGGCATGTGACTCTTATGAATTCACTGCATCCAAATGGATGCATCTATTTGAAATGTAAATGACCACATCTACTTGATGCAAACATTCATGCCAGTTTTCTCACTCCAGGTATGCTAGACCACAATTCCCATTATCTACAGACAATATGGATATGAAAGATAACACTGGGTAACTTTTATATTCCTGCAGCTGAACACACAGCATATACCCCTATGGCTGAACACGTTGCAGGAGAAAGATTTGCAGTGGCGAGGAAACAGGTTTTCAGGGAAGGCTTGTTGTTAGCCATTCAGGGGAGGATTTAGCTCAGTGGTAAAGCAAATGCTTGGCATACAGAAGTGCCCAGTTCAATCCCTGGACCCCCCAATTAAAAACATCAGGTACAAGATGATGTGACAGATCTTTGTCTGAGACCCTGGAGAGTCGCTGTTAGTCAAAATAAATAATATTGTACTATGTAGACAAATACCCTGGCCTGGTACAAGGCACCTGCCAATATTCTAATACTGATCTCTTTCTGGAATCCATAATAATATTTTCCCCCCAAAAAAATCTTTCTGTTCCCTAGAAAGCAGCTGGATAACATCACTAGGGAATCATTCAGAGTTCACAACATAAAACAGTGTCTGGGCTGGGTATTTTCTTCTGATTATTAAATACAGAGATCAATTTTCAGCAGATTCAGGCAGTTAGGGGAAAAAGCAAGCAAACAAAGAATATGTCTACAAAAGGGAGGTGTGGAATGGAAGCATCTGAAAATGATGATGGACATGCCAGCATACACATCCCACTAAATATATGTGCCACAGTGTGAATAGGAGGGAGTGTATGCACATGTTTATGTGTACATAATACAAGACTATATTTACTGTATTTGCAAATCCTGTCTAACCTAATTAAATGTTCACACGAATAATAAACAGATTACATCCACCATTATTTAGCAGGCACTGCTAGCGGTAGCTGCAAATACTGCAATAAAAAATTAGTATTTAATCTACTATGACTTCCCTCTCAGATTTTTTTTTTTTGCAGTAGATTCCCATATTATCTAGTCACCAGACAAAAAGACTAAGTAGACAGAATAAGAAAAGAAATAATCTGTGTCTTCATCTTCAAGTTTGTTTCAAATTTCCCTGTCTCAGAGCAGATAAATGGTTAATTCTTTTGTAAGAGGCTTCCTTGCAGATAAGCTAGAGTAGTGGGTAAGCCATCTTCAGGCCTGCACAATCTATTCTTCTTGTTTACCAGCATTCCTCTAATCTGGTACAGTGTTAAATTTGCCAACAAGGGCTGCATGCTCCTTCAAAAATTAAGACACAATTAAGAGATAGCCTTTGTGTTAAAGGAATTTAAAACTATGAACTTTTGCTTGAAAAACATGAAATACTGTTTTCTCTTATTTTAGTTTTGACTATTTATAAGCTGCCCTGGGAACCTTTTGGGTTGAAGAGAAGGGTATAAACACATTAACATTTTATTAACATAAAATAAATACTTATTTTCACTTGATTCAGCCAACATCCAGCTTGGTCCATCAAAATATGGGCAAGGACTGTAGTCTGCCTTCAGCCCACTCCTGGACTACAGGTTGCCTCAAGCATTGCCTGGCAGCTGAATCAACACACTGTCCTCAAACCAATGACAGATCAGATTATGAGCTTTCTCCAATTTTGTGATCTATAGATGGTTTGGACACCATCTCCCATCAGCCCCAGCCAGCAAAACCAATGGTCAGAAATTCTCAAAATTTCAAGACTTGCTTGGGAGTGTAGTAGCCAGTTCATAATAGATGGGAGTTCCTTAAAAGTGAAATATTGGAGGCACAATTTCAAACAGTTCCAAGGAGGAGGAAAAATGGGAGGCATCTAAAGAAACTAGGATGGCTATCTAAAGAACTTTCAACTGAGCTAAGATTTAAGAGGGACATCTACAAGAAATTGAAAAGGGTGGTGGGATCACCAAAGAAGGATTCAAACAAATAGCCTGGTCATGTAGGGAGACAGTCAGAAAAGCTAAAGCACAGAACAAGCTCAGGCTTGCTAGAGAGGTTAAAATCAATAAAAAGGTGTGTGTGGGGGGGTATGTTCGTAGCAAAAGGAAGAGTAAGGAAGTGGTATAAGGAAGATGGCAAAATGCTGAAGGAGATAAAGAAAAGTCAGAACTACTCATCACCATCTTTGCCTCAGTCTTCTCCTAGAAAGAGAAATGTGTTCAGCTTGCAGAAAATGGAGCAGATGATGAAGCAAGGGAAATGCAGCACAGAATAAATAAAGTGGTAGTACAGGAATACCTGGCTACTCTAAATGAATTCAAGTCTCCAGGGCCAGATGAACTACATCCAAGTGTATTCAAAGAACTGGCAGAAGTAATCTCAGAACCACTGGCAAGAATATTTGAGAATTCCTTAAGAACAGGAGAAGTTTCAACAGACTGGAGGAGGGCAAATGTTGTCCCTATCTTCAAAAAGGAGGACTCAAACAATTAACTCCCCATCAGCCTACAAGGAAAGGTTCTGGAGCGGATCATGAAACCCAGAGACTGTAAATACTTGAGAATGCCATGATCACTAAATGTCAAGATGGATTTCTCAAAAACTAGTCAAGGCAGACTAATTTTCTATCTCTCTTTTTTATATAGTGTTACAAACTTGGTAGATGAAGGGAATGCTGTGGATGTAGCATATCTTGATTTTGGTAAGGCATTTGAGAAGGTCCCCCATGATATTCTTACAAAAAGGCTAATAAAAAGTTGGCTAGACAATGTGACTGTTAGTGGATTTGTAACTGGTTAACTGACCAGACCCAAAGAGTACTCACCAAAGGCTTCTCCTCATCCTGGAGAGAAGTGACTAGTGAGGTGCCACAGGGTTTTGTCCTGGGCCAAATGCTATGCAGCATCTTTATCAACAACGTGGCACACTTGTCAAATTTGCATATGACACCAAGTTGAGAGGGGTAGCTAATACCCCAGAGGACAGGATCATTATTCAAAATGACTGTAGAAGATTAGAAAGCTGTGCAAAAATGTACAAAATCAATTACAACAGGGTGAAATGTAAGGTACTGCATTTAGGCAGAAAAAAAATGAAACACACAGATATAGGATAGGACTTGGCTTGACCCCATGTGAAAGGGATCCAGAAGCCGTAGTAGACCACAAGCTGAACATGAGTCAACAGTATGATGCAGCAGCTTAAAAAGCCAATAGGATGCATCAATAGGAGTATAGCATCTAGATTGAGGGAAGTAATACAGTCAGCCCTCCATATCAATGGCAATTTGGTTCCAGACCCACCCACCCCCGCAGATAGCAAAAAATGCACGTCTTCAAGTCCCATTAGTGTCAATGGATGCTGACATGTGTGTGGCCCCATCAGCACGACTACGTGCATGCGCTGGCATTAATGATAATGAGTCAGGACCATCCACAGGTGCTCCAATCTATGGATTGCTAGTCCACCAATACAGAAGGGTCTTCACCTGGAATACTGTGTACAGTTGTGGGCACCATAACATAACTGAACAATGATATTGGAGGCAGCATGTTTTTGAATAGGATTGGTGGGAAACAACAGCAAGATTGAGAGAGAGCTATTACTCTCATGTCCTGCATATGGGGTCTCCACATGCATTTAATTGCAAAACAGGAAGGTCTAGAAACCATGCCCTATGAGGAGAGACTTAGGGAGCTGGGTATGTTTAGCCTGGGAAAGGAAATGTTAAGAGGTGACATGATGGCCATGTTTAAATATTTGAAGGGATGTCATATTGAGGATGGAGCAAGCTTGTTTTCTGTTGCTCTAGAGCAGGGGTAGGCAACCTTTCCCCTTTAAGGGCCGAGGGACTTCAGCTCCCAGAAGCCTCAGCCATGTTGGCCAATAGTCCCATGTTGGCCAATAGCTCCTGGGATTCTGGGAGCTGAAGTCCCTCGGCCCTTAAAGGGGACAGGTTGCCTACCCCTGCTCTAGAGAATAGGACCTGGATACAGAGCAATGGATTCAAACTACAGGGGGGAAAACTTCCAATTAAACATTGGGGAGAACTTTCCTGACAGTAAGTGCTGGTCGACAGTGGGAGACACTCCCTCAGTGTGTGATAGAGTCCCGTTCTTTAGAGGTTTTTAAACAGAATCTGGATGGCCATCTGTTGGGAATGCTTTACTTGTGTATTCCTACATGGCTGAGGGTTAGACTGAATGGCCCTTATGGTCTCTTCCAACTCTCTGGTTTTATGTGTCCAAAATGTCCAGAGGGCGTAAGATCAAGGAATACTACTTTGCATGTAGAACAAGTCAGTTGGACCAATCTGATTTCAAACGAGAGTTTTAGCCTGTTACACAGTCCTCACTTGATCTGGTCTTGCCTGTAGGTATGGAATACAAACAATTTGTTCAGCATGTATTTGCCCCCACATACACACTCAAAATGAGTTATTTCTGGCAAGTCTCTTGTCATCAGATCTCTTGCTTCCTTGCCATCAAATCATCTTGCTTTCCCTAACTGCATGCTGCTCTCTTCCTATTTAACCACGGATCACTTCTGACACTTTTAGAAATCTTTGAGGATTTCTCTTTGAGTTCCTGACAGAAATATGTCACCAGCAGCAAGAGAAGGGAAGCCTGAAAAACCACAGGTTAAATCCTCTTTGAGTAATTCAACTGAGAAGAGACAGGGAGCATAGATTTGGCCTTCATGAGTCTGTCTTTTAGTTATTGCCACTATTCATGAGATTTTATTTCTTTCAATCAGAATTTCAAAAATCCCCCATTCAGCATGGCCAGTGAGATTCTAGTTTTAGATGGGGGGGGGGACTTGTCCAAAAATGATCAGACCATTTGGATGACTTGCAGACATGCCTATGTAAAATCTCAGCAGGTCAGTATTTAAATTGTTTTCCCCCTGAAGAAGCCTGGATAGGTATTTCTCAACCAAAATACACTGAGCTTTATACTTGAACAAAATCTTCTCTTTCATATCAGCCTTCTCCAAAGCCAGTGTGTTTTAAGATGGATGACCATTCCCATCATTCCCAGCCAGCATTCTGTGCACATTGTCTCCCATCATCTGTTATTTTAAGATGCACTGCTTCTAAACATGGAGATTCTATTTAGCCAGGGTAGCTAGGAAGCACTCAAACAACTGTTGACAGACCTTTCCTCCATGAATTGTCCCTTTACAATCTCTTTTTTAAAGCAGGGGCAGGCAAAGAGCAAACCATAGGTTTCACACAGCTTTCTCCAAGGCTATTTTGGAACCCTGCTCCCAACACCAACATGAACATGGGGGGTGGATCAGCTAAAATGTGATTTCACCTCCCTCCTTCTTCAGGACACCTCCTGGAGCAACAATTTTGCTTTCATAAGCC